ATTTTTACTTTTTGCTCACAATCTCAAAAAAATCGACCTATATTATCTTATTATAAAAACAAATGTTGGTAGTATACTGCTTTTATGTTATTATAGGTATCTATAAATATCTTTGGCTTTTTTGGGATTGATCAGAATAAAAATTCACACAGTTTTGTGCAATTTCATTGACCTTATATTCAACAAAAATAATCAGCAAGCTAATTTCTGATTACAATCATCTCTACAATAATCAGCACAGAAATGAAAGTCAGAGAGACTTTGTCGTACCTGCTCTGTTAGGATTTGTTTCAGCTGCTGTGGAGAGAACCGTCCTCTGTGAAGCAGAAGGTCTCCACTTTCCTCCTCGCTCTGGCCAGCCAAGATCAACAACTTATGAGCCGATTCCCGGGACAGCAGAGCAAACGCCTGGAGAGAGACGGGGGGTAAGATTTTTATTTTGCAATGTAGCTTTAATTCCCCATATTCAAACAAAACAATTTAGAGAAAAAAGTAGGAAGAGATAGGAATGAATAACTTTACTTTACAATCAGCATAAAAGTATTCAGGTACTATTAAGATAATGTGTATCACATTTTTAAGGCAACATTTTTTATATTTTCTCTGCTTTATATTATTGTAAATATATTGCACGTTTGGACAAGGCATTAAACCACATGAGCTTTATTTTAATGTCTCTTTGAGGTTAGTAGATAAAACTAATTGCTTGTTAATCAGGCAAATATTCATCAGATTCTTTATTACAAATATCAACAAACAATTAGTTTTGCTATCAGTACATTCCAATTTCATTACTTCAGTTTATTTGTAAGACAAATTCTGCAAAAATATGAAAATGATGATATGAATCTATATATAAACTAGCTTATTCAAATTGTATTCCCTGCTTTGTTCTCAGATCTCATTTAAAAATATTATTCATGTTTATCATAAGCTGATGAATATATATCAGAATACTTTAATCCCTGCCACATGATAACAACCTGACTTAAAATATCTTTAAAAAGCATTTAAAGGAGCCAGGATGTATCACCTCTGAATGAACCTGTTCCTGAGATGGACCGATGAGCACCTGAGTGTCCAACACTCTGGTGCTGTGGCGCAGGCACTTCTGCCCTGAGGAGGCAGAGAGAAAAACAAAGAGTAAAGAGAGAGGGACAAACAGGCAGACAAGCAGAAAAGTCTGAGCGGAGGGAGTCTGAAAACAAGCTAAGGGATATGAGCGAATATGAGAGGCCAGAAGCAAATAGGTGGGAGGGTCAAAGAAGTCAATGAGAAAGTAAATTGAGATTGACTCACTCAGCAGAAAAGGAGGAAGGAAGAAGAGGGAAACAGCTGAGTCAAAAGGGTACTGTCTGCAGATGAAATTAAGTAAATATCTAGTCTGAGGGGAACTGGATTAACGTTTGAGGACACAGAGGCGGACACGGCCAACTGGGAAATAATTACTCAAATAAGTAGACTCCAAACGTTTATTTTTCCTTGAGTCAAGTTAGGAATAAAAAAGAAAATCAATACTTGTTAGGACTCTCTTTTCAGAAGTGAGTTTGGCTTGTCAAAGCAGGAAAAGCACTGTTGACATTAATAACATTAATGATGGCTACGTGCCATAGGTAAGACTCACTCAGTGAAATGGCTTACTGAGACATGGTGCTTTTGTTCAAATCTTTTTTACCTGTGTTTTTTTTGCTTTCCCAGGCCATTGTGTCTGCTGTGACGGTCTAAAGCGCTGAATCCCATTTTTTACATTTGTATACAGTTGTGTGGAGTATTGTCACTGTGAAGTTGCTAAGCAAAGGCTACTAAAAGTCACAGCCTAAAGACAGAGAAAGATCCAGTTCGTCCTTTAACAATACATTTCTTGCACACAATTTAAAATAGGATGTGTTATTTAGTGAAATGTAGATGGGCTTGTTCTTTGTGACCTTTAGAGAGAGCCACGATATGTGTTTCTCCATGTTCCAGTGTGCTATAGCTGTAGCTACTTTTTACAATAAAGGTATTGATCTTATTATTTAACTCAAATAAGTGTATTTCCCAAAATGTTGAAGTATTTCTCCAAATCACCTCTCTTTTTCTCATCAATAGCATGAGCACTGGCGTACTCCAAATGAACAGAGGGCCTATTTACCAGAAACAGGACACCTCTCTGGCTGCCATTTTGTTCTCCCTATAGAAAGAGATGTCTGTTTCTGTCTGTGTTTGTCACTTAATATCACCCCAGATGTTTTTTCAGCCTTTTTACCATTTTCCCCAGTTGTCCTTGGCTCTGCAGAAGGCTTTATCACATACAAAGCACATGTGACACAGCTTGGTAACAGGTCTCTATTGTTTCAAATCCAAAAGGCCCACCCATGATTAACAATAACCCGACTGCTCCCTTCCTTCCTTCCTTCCTTCCTTCCTGGGGACGGTCCTTTCTGAGTGTTAAAGGCTCAAAAAGAAATCCAGTTACTTACCCGCACCCTTAAAAGATGCCGTGTGCTGGGACAGAAATTCTTGGAGATAGAGATTCAGGTCACAAGATTTTAAGTCGATGTCCCATGACCGAATACCTAGACATACATGAGGCAACAATTGGTTTATTTTGTCATAAACAACACAATCTTTCGTAAATAACACAAAAGTGTCCATGTATAAACTAAACTAAAGGTGTGAAAGTTGTTAATGTGCAAATTCAATGATCGTATATGTATCGTTATTGTAAAAAGTTACAGTACTCTGTATTTATGCAAGTGAAAGTACAAATATAAGCCTATTATTTTAAATGAACAGTCAATCTGTACCAAATAAAATATCAAGTTAAATGTGTTATGATATTAAAATAATACATTTATGAATAGGCTATTCTAATTATAATGATTAAACATTGTAAATATGGGTTGTATTTTAAGCGGCAAATCATGTGTAGTAATAATAATAATAATGCCTTAATGGAAGTATCCTGGTATAAATATTGCTCTTTCTGCTTATATATCCTTTAATTTACCATGGAACAGGCTAGATGATGAACAGTTATAAAAAAAGAGATGTCAACCTTCTTATTCAAAGAAAAGGGATCAAATATATTTGATTGAATATTATTTTGTAAATAGGCAGCACTAGCTAAGTAAGTAAATAAATAAGAAAAGAAAAACAGATATGTGGTTTGCAGGTTTAATTTAGTGTGTGACAGAGTAGATGCGACATCATGGGAAAACTTAAAAATGCATGAAGCTGAAAAGAGGGCTCCTTTTCTTAGCTCTTAAAATACTGACATTTTGAGGGTAGCCTACATTATCTTCACTAGACAGTCATGACATTTGTAAAGGCCTTGTGAAGAATAATAACATGTCTGTCTGAGTTTCTGTCACTCTCTCTATCTATCTATCTATCCTTCTGTTCCCGTTTATATTCCCTTATCTATCTCGGCCTAGTGTTTTGCATAAATATGCTGCACTCAAATGTGCAGACTGTGGGCTATGCCATGTACTGTCTACTGCAGTCTCCAGTAAGCCTATGCACACAAACGTACAAGCACATCGTTTACAAGTGGCTATGTGCTGACTGAATATCCTGCATGCAACATTTCCCCCAAACCTTTACCTTACATAACGATATACTGAGGCGATGGACAAATCACACTGCATTTAATTATAATGTGCCCAGCGGGACGAGGTGATGCTGATGGTGGAGAATCGCCAGATGACGCATCCTCGGCCAGTAAGGGTGGAAAAAATTGCATAAACACTGCAGTGGGGTCTGTGTAGCATCTTCAGTGATTTTTCAGTCGATGAGAACTCGCAGGCGTCTGAATTGTGAATCAAAATAAAGAGATAGAAGAAAAACTACATGGTGCCGCTGTGAGGGGCGTTGACATACGTACCTCGTTCAATGTCCCTGCTAGTGTGTCCCGCGTGTCTGGGGTGAGCAGTGCGTCCTATGATGATGAGCAGGGAGTATTTGTGCAGACACAAGTCGGGGTTTGCGGTCGCGACGCGCCTCGGCTCCTCCTGTACCTCCCTCTCCGGCACCCGGCTGGACGCCATGTTGGAAACTTGCACTTGGATATGATGTCATTGAAAAAGCCTGACAGCGCCTTTTATTACCGAGGGATGACAGCTGGTGTACCGGAATGCATCGTGCATTAGTGAATGTGTAGAAACAGCAGTGGTATTAAGCCTACGTGTAATCAAGGAATGTAGGCTACTTAATTTAAATGTTGAGGTAGGCTACTTGTACTTTACTTACTTCCATTGTACTTTATACTTGACTCTTTTACCTTTAGATAAACAATATGATCAACACTAAAATAAGACTTTAGTCTAGATTGAATTCACAATCTACAAATTAAATAATTAAAATTAGTTCCAGCTTTATCAGCTTCACATCCATAATTCCAATCAAAACATACAATATATTAATCTGAAATTGACCAATCTGCACAATGAATACTTTTACTTTTGGTAGCCTTCTTTAAGAATATTTTGATGCTAATACTTTTGTACCTCAGTTGAGAAACATTTTGAATGCAGGACTTTACTTGATGATACTTGACGTGACTTGACTTGATTTGATGATACTTGACTCTGGTACTTCTACTTTTTAATTTAAGAATAAGATCTAATACCCCCTTTAGTGAATGTGTAGAAACATGCTGCATTATTCATTACAAGTGGCAAAAGGAATCAATATATCTTTCTTTATTGTATTTAGTGCTGTAAATGTAATAAAAAGCAAGTTTGCAACATGTGACGGTTGTGGAGAAAATACAAATATCCAGCTGTTACATTTTTATTTTTAAAATAATACTACAAATATTACTTAATATAACAGTCCAACAGACACATAGACACTTGAATATAATTGAGTTGATTTATTGACCTCTGTATCTTACAAATGTGTTTAAATGGTGACTGATGCTAGGACGGCTTTACTTGATTCTCCATATAACAACAAAGAAAAATTACATAGAAAAATAACAACAATTATTAAAAACCTATATTATAATCCACATTTATAAAATAAAATCGCCCTTTAGGGATAACAACATGTTACATTTATTTTTCTCACAATGACAGTGCATTACATTTTTACACTCCATACTTAATACATCCCTCCTGTTTTTTTTAGAGTTTTTTCATTACAAACATTTGAGAACATAAAAGTTACAGGAAGTCCCCCGGGGGCAGCTGCATAGCGTGCCGATGCGCGCGCCTTTACGCACGGCACACGGCTCTCCAGCGTCACACTGAAACAATAAAAACAACATAAATGTATGAAAATGCAGGTTGTACACTTCCTTTCTTAATCGACGAACAGAAATGTCTAAAGTAGTCTTATAGCAAGAACAAGTCAGAAAGTAATCGTATGCTTTGATTCCAAGTTCAAACGCCAATTATACAATTATTATCTACCTTTTATACACAGCTTCGTCTTATGCACCGGAGAAATAATATTTCAGAAAAGTATTATACCTGAGCATAGGTGTTTTAGAATGTAATGAAACAAATATATATATTGAAAGTAACCCATTCCCAAGTAATTGTACATACCGAAGGCAGCCAGCCATGTTTTTTCTCTAAAGGCATCTCTTTGCTTCTCAGTTTCTCCAAAACTTCTTGCAAGGCGTCAATCTGCAGAGAAAAAAAGGCAAAGCGTGACATTTTCATTAAAAAAACTGTGCTATTATTACTTTTTTGTATCCTCCATTAATAAGTGTATCCAACAAATGAAATGCTCTATCGACACATAGCAAGGCTTCGTTCATTCTGCTGACACATTTCACACCCATGTCCCTGATCAAGTCTCTCACCAGGTCTTTCTCCTGTTGGGTTTTCAGGGGGAAATCCAATGAGCGCGTCTCCAGGGAGGAGTCTTCTGCACGACCGAGCCACAGGTAGGCGCAGCAGCAGGTGGCCGCGAGGAAGAGAGCCCGAGCGCTGACCATGGTGCTGACACAAAAACACGGGCAGCCTTCTCTTTACCGGGGGAGAAAAGTGAAAAGTCTGCGGTGGATCTGTGGAGGTTTGGAGGTCTACAGAGAGACCCCTCTTTATATAAACAGGCTGCTGTTGACATCAGCCACCCTCTGAAATATTAATGACCATTTTGACCGGCGCTGACACTGCTCAACACCTTTGTATCTTTGCGGAAGTGACCTGGCAGGAGGAAATCAAGGAGGGTTAAAGGTGGATTTACATTTCATAGAACATATTTGATAACGTAATCTAGTGGCTGTGTAGGAATCAAAATTTGAACACATGCTTACAATCTAATTTCACTTTGTTCTTAATTTATGAATATTTTCTTTGTTTGCAAAGTAGTCCTCTTCAGTTAAACATGACTCATTCATGAGTCAGTTTGATGTGTCAGAATCAGACAATAGATAATACAGAACATAAAACAGAACATAAAACCATCACTGAACAAAACTTTGTATGAATGTGAACTGTCAAATCAACGGAACAACACAACACTATAACATTTTCTAAAAACCTAACTGGGTTCTCTTAACTACCCGAGTCCTGACACAAACCTTTCCTTCCCTGTCTTGCTGCTGAACGATTCTAACTTATTTTGTCACCTCTGTCCAATAAACCCGAGCTCAGGTTAACCCACAGTGACACCAATCTGTAATCAGGATCCAATTTCCTTCTGTAGGAATAACCTTAAGGGATATGTTTACACACCACTCCTGTCAGAGACCCCATGTCTCATGACAATCACCGTTACACCTGAGGGGCCATTACTTCACCGTGTTGATCCCAATTTTCTCCCCTGTCTCCTGAAAAAGCCAAGGCCAAGGAAGAATTGAGGGCAGTGGTCAATAAATAATGCCTGTGACTCATTCAGGGTGAATATATGCAATGAAAAAAAGTCTTTAGATCTAGAGTTTTTGAAACAATATATTATTATTGTATATTATATATACATATGTATGTGCCAGAACAAGCAAGTATGTACTTTTGTAACTGCATTTTGAAAACTGATTTTTTTTTCTTCCACATTTTAAGATGTCTATCATGGTAATGTGTTGGTTTTGAGTGGTTAATGGTTTTAAAAACGCCAGTATTGATTTTATCCGTAGAAATACAGCAAAGACAGTAAGGTGGATGTTTTTGAATTTAAAAAAGGTGACTCAATTATACTTTTAATCAATGTAACATGTATTATATGGATGAATGTAATTGTGAACCTAAATAAATACACGTGCATCTTATCCTGATTAAATATTAACTGAAACCTGTTGAAGGAGTCATTCAAACAGACAAGATTCAAAATTCAAATGTTTAATGTTTTATCATATCAGTGTAGTTGTGTAATAAATGAAAAATGTGGGTCACAGATTCCTCAACAATGCAATTACAAGACATTAAACAAATTAATATAACTAGTCAATATTTCTACTTAATACACTTGTTTAAAACAAATTTGACTTCCCTGTGATTGTCTCCATGTATCTGATCATTTCCCTATCCCCCTGCATTTTGCAAGAATTCTAAACTCATTTAATGGCTGTGGTTGCAGTTCCTCACTCCTGCCGCAGAGGGGCAGCAGCAGACTGAAGTTCCGGAAGTGAATAATGACAAAACCGGAAGTGCCCAGTGTAGATAGCAGTGTTGTGGAGATAATTCTCAATCTTTTTTAACGTTTCATTGTTCAGGTTGGGTTTCTAGCACAGGGAACAATGTCTGAACGAAAAGTATTAAATGTAAGTATATAAACAGCCTGCCTCTCTTTTTAAACAGTTTGAGCAGTGTAAGAAACCAGGCTAGTGTTAGCTTTGAAGCTAAGTGCGATAATTACACAAGCTATTAGCATTAGCGATGAATGTGTTAACTTTGCGTTGTTATGATTGTTTCAACTTTGCATTTGTGACATCTTAAGTAACTATTGTTACCACTGACGTTTTTGAAATAATAAAATGCCTAAATAAATAAATTAGCACCACATTGGGTTGTTATTCATTTTCATCTCTGTTTTGTGTTCCGCAGAAATACTACCCCCCCGATTTTGATCCATGCAAAATCCCAAAGCTTAAACTCCCCAAAGATCGTCAGTATGTGGTCAGATTGATGGCTCCATTCAATATGAGGTATGTGTGTTTCATCCATGCTCCACACTAATGTCAAACATATAACATTACACAGTCAAGTGTGCTGTTTTCAATACACACACAAAAAACAACACAGTACAATTGATTTAAATATTTAAATCCTGGTGCAATTCCATGATTTGATCTTGATAGCTTGGGGAAATAAGGTCCTTACACCTAAGGGTCTTTCATTCTCTTATCCTGCAAGTGTAAGAAAGAAAGTGAGCAATTGTTTGATCATTTAATTTGCTGCCTTAAAGGTGGGATAGGTAAGTTTGAGAAACCGGCTCGAGATACACTTTTTGTTATATTCCATGGAATGCTCTTAACATCCCGATAGCAATGAATATCGTAAGTGTTTTGACAGAAAATCCATAAAAAATGTCATCTGTGGAAGCCGTAGTACTGTAAAAAGCACGGCCAATCATTTTAGCCGGCCCGGCTAAAATAACTGGATGGCCTACCTGCCTGTCAGCCTTCCATCTGTGCACAAACTTATCTCGTGCCCTCATTGGTCATGTGCGCGTTCGTGTGTGTTGGAGGAGGGGCTCTATAAGGAAGTGGCAGATTTGTTACAGCTGTGTATTTTCTAATTCTAGCGCACTCGAGCTGATTTCTCCAAAATTACCTACCCCACCTTTAATTGTGCTCTACTTACCTACTTTCACAGTTAAACCTTAGCCTGTGACACCAAATCACAGGTTCCGTCTATCCATGTGCATTAATGGTATAATTCAGGATAACCCTCTACCAAAACTTGATTATTGAGGCCAATGTCAATATTGAAGAATAACATTTTTGAACTACCATTTATTTTTATTCACCATCCAACCCAAAGAGATTCTGATAAGCTAAACTTGGTAAATAATGTCATCTTCAGCTCTAATTCTGAATATAGTTTAAAGAACGTAGTACACTGAAAGGGTGTTACAAATTGGAAATGAACACATTGACTGTGGTGTCTTCAGTAATGCTTCTCTGGTTGTTTGCAGGTGTAAAACATGCGGCGAGTACATCTACAAGGGGAAGAAGTTCAATGCACGTAAAGAGACCGTTATGAACGAGCTGTACATGGGACTGCCCATTTTCCGTTTCTACATCAAATGCACTCGATGTCTTGCTGAGATCACATTTAAGGTGAGAGTATTTAAAAGAATGATTATCACTGTAATATTTATTAAAAAGAGACAAATGCTTCTACATTAAAGGTTAATGTGTCAGTGCTATTTGTATCAACTCACAAGCATTATGCATAACATAATCTCTCACACTTTCTTATCACGTGACCACAGACTGACCCTGAGAACACAGACTATGCAATGGAGCACGGTGCAACGCGGAACTTCCAGGCAGAGAAACTGCTTGAGGAGGAGGAGAAAAGAATCGTACAGGACAGGGAAGAGGAGGAACTGAACAACCCCATGAAGGTCAGTGTTCAAATGGAATTTACGGTTTGTGTGTTTTTATTTGGCAATTAGAATGAAAAGTTAAAGATTTCCCAATCCTCTTCCAGGTGTTGGAGAACCGCACAAAGGATTCAAAGATGGAGATGGAGGTCCTGGAGAACCTGCAGGAGCTGAAGGAGCTGAACCAGAGGCAGGCACAGGTGGACTTTGAGGGCATGATCGACCGCTACAGTGAGTTCGAGAAGAGGGAGAAAGAACGAGAGAAAGAAGAGGATGAGCGAGAGACAAAGTGAGTGAGGAAAGGTTAAAACACACAATGCCAAATGCTTTAGATACATAGAAACGTTCATCCTTTACTCATGTGTATTCTTCTTATAATCAGTGGGAATCACTTGAAACTGAGTGTGTGAATTGTTTCACAGAGAGATGTTGGATCGTGCCCTCGTGAAGAGACTCAGAGACTCTGACTCTGATTCAGAGAAGGAGGAGGAGGACAGCAGCGGCTCGCAGGCAAAGAAACCCAGCACAGACAAACCCACAGACATCCTCACCACACTCAAACCCACAGAGGCATTGGTACGATGACCGCTCACATTCAACAAATTAATCTTCTATAAATACATATATTTGTCATAGCTTGTTTAAGCCTATCTTTTGTTATACTCAAGATATCCATCCTGTTGCATGAAAGTCTTCATCTAAAACTCATTACGCTCTCTTTCTTCTCCTTCTTTGCCAAAAAAGAACCATGTCTTGTTTTGTATCCACATCATTGATGAACTATTGCCCTTAGTGCTGAACACTGTGACTAGTTTCAAAGAGTTTTAATTTAGATTTAATTGGAGAACACTGTTTTTAGTTTAGTTCTTTTTTCTATATTGGCTAAAAATAAACTGAAATGGATTTAACGGTAATGCTGCAGTGGTGAAAATAACAACGATGCAAACACAAAATTCCATGTTTTCACAGGGATCCTCAGCTGGAGGAGCGAAGAAGGCCAAGGTGGAGACTTGGGAGAGGAGCGTGGGGACACTGGGAGGTAAAGGAGCACTTGGGTTGCTGGTTGTGCGAAAGAAACCAGCAGCGACTTTCCTCAAACCCCATCCAGTGGCAGCAGCTTCAGCCCCCACTTCACAAACAGGTAAACATCAGTATCTCACACAGCGTAAATTCAAATCTTCTGATATATAAGCCATTATCGACTTTATTTCTTCATTAAACCTATGAGCACATCTTTGTGTGTTTTTCTCTTTCAGATTCAAAGGCATCTACGACTGACTCTAAGAATGCCTCCAAGCCTGTTACCACACAAAATGGGTCATCGTCTCTCAGCCTGCTGGGGGCGTATTCAGACAGTGACAGCAATGACAGCGAATGAAAAGTTGCTCGGGTGGTTTTTGATTTGATTGATTGACGCACAATTGTATAAATGATGCATCAAGGATATTATGATGTGGACCTTTTTGTAATCTGCACAGAAAGCAGCGTCACATGTTAACCAGTCCGTGGGTCTGTCCTATATAAACCTTTCTATAAAGAAGTTAATGATGAAGTCAATGTGTTGGCAGGCATTCATTAGCGGGAATTATATTGTCTGTGGACCAAACCCAGTGAACAAAACAATTATTTCTTAGCCAATCCACTGTTTTATGGACATGTTGAATCCATGCAAGTGGTATTCGCCCTGTGAGAATATCAGATTTCAATTGTAATGTTTATTAAAATGTGTTGTATTCAACCCGGTGTCCTTGACATGCTTTGACGTCCTTTAATGTCTCTCATAAAACTTAAATGTGGAATCTGAATATGTAGTTTTTATATTGTTGTGCCAAAAAATGTCTGTTGGCACACACATACATTGATTTATGTACGTCAGAGACAGGAATATAAGAAGAATCAACTTGCAATGATTCCAAAAAATTAATAAAAGCATTTGCACCGTTGATTGTGATTTTATATTTTATATGGCTGAGTTCAATTCGAAGAGATAATGTATTATCATCATTCCTCTTATCACCGTCATAATTTTCCTCTTATAAAACCCTCCTGGTTTAGTCTGAATACAGAGGGGAATCTCCAATGTCATATTTTACTTTACTTTAGTCAGTTTCTTACATATATATATTTTGTGTAAAATATTGCCTTTTAAAACGTCACAATGGTCTTTACAAATAGTTTTGTCAAATAGCTTTCATAATAGTACTATTTTTGCTCCTTTCTTTAAAATCCTTTCTTTTCCTGTAGTATAAATCTAATTATGTTGCTGCAGTATTTTGGTCTTTTATAAAACGTTTTAATTTATTCAGAATATTACTACTTTTATGCATTACTTGTGATGTGTGTATTTTCTACTGTAGATATGTTTATATTAGCTGTTTATTGTTTTTATTTGTATTATGTTAATACTGTATTCCACCTTTTAAGTATGTTAATGCATGAACACACTAGAGTATTTTCACATTATGCTACTTTATGCTTTTACTTCACTACATTGTGTAGGCGAATGTACCTTTTTCTCCACAACATCTTTTTTTACATATTTAGTTACTAGTTTCTTTGCAGATTTAGGTCATTAATACAAGAGAAGATATAAATCAACGCACACTATATTATAATAGTATAGGTTTAGCTACCCCATAGTAGTGTATAAAGTCATTCAAGTAAACCCCACCTTTACCAAGTGCAACATTGAAGAGATTAACACATTAATGCAACAATCATGTTTTAAAACAAACTAGTGCTATCTGGTGCTTAAAATGGCTATTTTCCATAACGAGTACTATTACTTTTGGAACTTATGCTAATGCTAATACTTTTGTACTTTGTCTTGTAACTGAGTATTTGTACACTGTAGTATTGCTACTTTTACTTACTTGTTTCCACCAAAAACAGTCCACATTAAGGACTCTGTATCTGTAAAACAAATGGTGTTAATTGTGGATGAAGCCACAGTGGTATCTGCATTCATGTCGTCACAGTTAAAACATCGCAGTGTTCCCCTTTAAGCCTGTCGTCAGTGAGTGTTGTGTCTCGGTCTGCTCCACCGTCTGGTCCGGCTAACATTAGCTGACTGACCTGCTTGGCTCAGATGCAGCAGAACGGATTTCACGGATAACAATGTTTTATTCTTAGTCCTAAAAACGTGAAAAAAACCGAAACACCAGATGGTTGGCAGAAAGACGTAACTGGACCGGGAACCGTCAATGCAACGAAAGAGGGTGAGCGTGAAGAAGTAAAGCCGTTAGTAAACGGTTGGAACGCTTCGACGTTAGATGCTATCCGGCTAACTTGGCTAAGCTAGTTTTGGCATATTAACAACAGTGTTGACCATCAGTTGTTCAACTCATAATTCTTTAACCCTTTATTTTTTTATTTTTTTATAACATAACATAACATAAGCGTTTGTCAAATATTACGCTTGGTGCTGATACTTTGAAAGGACATCTTCAATCTGCTGTTATTAATATGTGATTGATTGAATCCCCTAATTTACCCCCTGATGCTAACTAGCTATTGTCAATGGTTTTTGTGATTTTCTGATTTAGCAAGATTGCCAGCGCTGACCTTTTGTTATCAAAGCTCACGGTCATCTTGCATTTAATAATGTTAAGTCTGAGGTGCTGCACATTTTATTTCTCCTGAACCTGTTGATTAATGCCAATACCTTTTTTATTTCTCAGGGCATTGCCAGATTTTAGAGGGATTTAACAACTCTAGCCAATGGTATGCTAACTGAATACAAATCTCATTGTGATCATTAGCCTGCTTTACTCAGAGGTGGAAGAAATACTCCGATTATTTACTGAAGTTAAAATAGCGTAAAAGTACTGTAATCAAAATTGCACTTAAGTAAAAGTACACAAGTATTGGCATCAAATATATACTTTATGTACCAAAAGTATTTGTTATGCAGAATGGCCCATGTAGGCACTTTATTTTTTATAATAATATATTATAATTAGTGGTGCATTGATATGTTCATCACTTCAAAGTTGCACTTGATCTGGATTGCTTTATACACTACTGGGTAGATTAACCAATGGAAATACACGATAATGTATTAGTCAATTTATATTTTATAATAATAATCTAAATCTGCAAAGTATCTATATCTGTAAAATGAATGTAGTTGAGTAAAACAGTACAACATGTGCCTATAAAATGTAGTCTGGTAAAAGTATAAAGTAGCATAATGTGAAAATAGTCAAGTAAAGTACAAGTAGCGCACTCAACGGTACTTGAGTAAATGTACTTTGGTACATTCCACTGCTGGCTTTACTTATAAGACTTTAACTCAAGGTTACAGTTTTACCATTTGTCTGGTATTTAGTTCATTGTTCTCGGTACCATATATCCATCATTACCTAACAGAAGCAACATATATTTTCCCAGTTCATGTCCCAATTGATTCTTGAAAAAGATAATGTAGATTATTCTAACATATCAATATGCCACTTCATTCCCAGATCCATGGCAAAGTGGCTGAAGGACTACCTAAACTTTGGCTCCAGGCGTGACCCTCCGCAGGTCCCGAGGCCAGATTACAGTGAGAGTGACATTTTGAGGGCCTACAGAGCTCAGAAGGAGCTAGATTTCGAGGACCCGTATCAACACTCTGAAAAGGAGCGTCAGAATGGTGGTTTCAGCCCCTGTAAGGCCACAATGAGCCTTCCCTCTTTCCCTGCATTCGACTCAGTGCTGCCCAGCGGTCTGGAGGTATGGCATGTATGTTTTTACAGTCATTTACAAAACAAGTTTGCATTTACAGCAAAGTTTCATTGTTTTGAAAATGTTTTACCAGATACTGTTTAATGTTGGCAATGTAAACTTTCATCACTTTCTCACTTGGACAATGAGTGTTGAAGATACATTTAAAGTTGTGCGTGTTGTGTTTTAGGTGAAAGTGATATCTCCCAAGCACAGACTTATTAAAGTGGACTCTCAGGAGTTTGGCTGCAGTAAAGTCCCCCTCAGTCCTGTGACTATACAGGAGGAACCTGTAAGAAACATTTTTTATTTGTGATCAGCTTTCATTTTTTCTGCCACATCACCCTTATTGCTGTTTCTCTATTCCCTCCCTGCTTTTTCCCCTTTTATAATTCACATACAACACACACACACACGCACACAAAGTGAGATGCTTTGTTCCTCTCTCCATTTCAAGGTGGTTCCCTCTGCCCCAGCAGCGTCGGACGCTGACACCGACTACTCTGATCCATTTGATGTCCGTCCAGACCCAAGAGGCAGACCAAACTGGGAGCCAAAATCCGCACCAACTGACTGCTGCAGTTATATGGAGCCATTTGAGGCCCAGAGGATTATCTCAGGTTTGTTTTGCGATCTTTTCCCCCCTCACATTTTAGGTTCCTTGGAATATTTACAGTTTTAGACTATCTACATATTCACAGTGCAAGCATGTTATTTTTCTTCTGAAAGTGACATTTTTATTCTCAGTTTCTACTACAACAAACACAGTGTTTTCTTATACTGTCTGTCTGAATATGTCTGTATTCGCCATCTGTCTGAAAAGCTCAGTTTTATTTCCTGTCTCTTTAATCCCCCTCTCAAAATAGCTCAGTCTGCTCTGATTGGTCAGTGTTTTTCCAAATATGCCCTGTGGCCTCTGCTACATCCATGCAGCCAGGGAGTGATTATAGCAGCACTGGAGTGGCACTAGGGATGGGTATCGTCATCCGGTCTGCTTATCGATTCCGGTTCTTATCGATTCCCTGTTTCGATTCCAAAATTGTAAAAGAAAGAGGTCAAATGTTTAGATAACAAACATATCTTTATTCTTTTAAGCTTTAACTGACATTTTTACAAATAAAAAATATAAATGCTATACAAATGTATTGCGCAATAGCTGTGCTTTATTTTAACTGAGCTATGCCTGTGGCAAGCTATTAGCAGGCATTACACTGTGCCTTGTCTTTTTCTTTTTTAGTGTAGTGGAGCCTCACTTTAGAGCGTTTACCGCGATCCATCTTTGGTGTTATGAAGTGACTGAGCTCGTGAACTGTCTACGGGAGGGCGGGGGGAGCCTCGGTGCGGGGCAACTGTGGACCTCTGTCGCCTGTCAGCGCAACTTACATGGCGCCGTTTAAAAAAATGAAGGGCGCTGACGACCGGCCGTTCTGTGATTCTCCAGAACACACAGATGGCCAGTCCGCCCTTACCCTATTCCACCGGGTCACCGCGGCGCAGACGGACCCGGTGGAATACAGGGTCTACCGCGTTTAGGAACCGTTAAGCAGAACCAAAATTGTGTATTTTGTATGGGTACCCGGTACCCGGCATTTTCTTATCGGTTCTCATCTGGAACCAAGTTTCTGTTCCCAACCCTAAGTGGCACTTCTACTTATTTGTAGCATAGTTGGTATAGTTGGATATCACAAAGTTACACAAGTCTGGCCTGTTTAAAGCATAGACTGTATGGGTTAAAGGCACTGTTTCTAAATTAGCGCTGCGTGCACTTGTCATTTTGATTCAAAGTATTAATTTATCACCTAGTCCTACCTTAAAAAACAAGACATGAAACCTAACTTTTTACAATATGGGACTCTTTAAAATTGTGCTGGAATTAATTTACTCTTTGTTTACTGTGCAGAGCTGCAGCACAGCATGATGACTAACAGATCTGGGAGTGGAGATGGGGGCCAAATCTACGATAACCCGTACGAGGAGAGGACTCGCCACCAGCACCGAGCCAATCCAGCCGCACAGCAGCTGACTCAGCGCGTTGAGGGCGGTCTCCCCCCGATAGACGGCAGGGAGAGCAAGCTGCCTCAGGATGATGAGAGGCCGGCGGACGAGTACGACCAGCCCTGGGAGTGGAAGAAGGACAACATCTCGAAAGCTCTAGCAGGTAAACTCGATGTCTCAATCTGTGTCTGTTGTCTTGAATACTCTTGTTTTTCTTTTTTAACGTACTGTATGGTTCTTT